GCTGCTTTAAGAGAGGAAAACTCACTTTAAGGGCAAATTTCTGGGAGTTTCCAGGTTTTTTTCAGTTACGAAGAGCTAGATTAATCTCATATGAGAATTTTTCAAAAATTTGTATTTTCTAACGACCAATCGCTTTGCCTTGGTAACTCAAAAAATTATGGAAGAACTCCCAGAAAGATCTTATTAAAGTGTGTTTTCCACACTTAAAGCAGCGCATTTGCTCTTTCGAGTCATATCATGAGCCGGACGGTTGGATTTTTGGCTTTTTCGTGTCAAATTTTTTACAATTTTAGATATTCAAACGCTAATCGCCTCACCTTAACATCTGAAAAAAAACTGAAAACTTCTAGAAATTTCCTATTAGACTGAAGTTTTCCTTATCTAAAGCCGCAGTTGGTCAGGGTCAGGAAAAAAGTCAGCCAGGGTGAGTCAGACAGGCAAAACTAATGTTTTAACGTCCAAAATGTTTTTGGAAAAATATTTTGTCTTCAATCGCATCGCTACGCCCACACTCCCATCGCTTCGCTCCGCGTAGCAGGCAGTATAAACAGAAAACAGAGTAATCTAATTCTGTACACTTGTGTTTTCGGCCGCTGGTGTGCACCCTTAGCAGCTGCATTTACATTTTGTAATAAACCGCCGAAAAGCATACCTAATTGAAAAATGCAAACACAAATTAAAATCCCTTTTACCTCAGTTCCGTATTGTCCATGGCTCCATTCCTCTTGGAGGGGAGTCGATGACCCCCAAAGGGTCGTGGGCTGTCCGGCGCTATGCTTTCGGCTTGACTGTGCGCGTAACCAGAGTCGTTGTTTCCATTGGGGTCGCCCAAGTTGTTTGGGGTGGCTAAACTGGCTACTACACTAGATATTCTGAAATGAGAAGAAACACTCCCAATTTCTGACATAGTTTCGTATCTGGGATCTGATCTTGAATGAGATAGATAGTGCCGTAATGATCACAACATTTACTAAAATTGACCCGTGGAATAAGGGATGTGTGGCAAACACTAACTCCAACTAACTGTACGGTCGCGACAACAGATCAATTTAAAAAACCGGGACCAATTCATCCAACTTTTTTCGAAAGCCATCTCATATGAGATCGGGGCGATTGGATATCAACTAAAAAACTGGGAGATTCATGCATCTTTACAATACAATACTGAAATTTTCTATTCAATGCGCAGCTTTGCCCTAATTTATGGCAAATTAATCCAACTTGTGACACCCTGTAGTGAGATCAACATCAAATTAAGCCGCTTTAAAAGGTGCTGAAAACGCAGGGGCAACGATTTTCTTCGATTTCCAGCACCGAGCTTATAGTTTCCGGGTGCAACTCCGAATTTGTTCCTTCACCCCAGTTCGATTGTAATTGCGAACCTGCTTAAATTTATCTTGCGTTTTCGCCTGGCTTGTTTGTGGTTTTATTTCGCACGGGTTTAACTTTATGGAGGTTGCGATTTGCCCGAAAACTTTATTATTCGGTTCCGGTTTCAAAGCCCAATATTTTATGAGATCCAGCAAATATTCAGCAGGTATAAGCAGGGTTTCAATTTCTAATGGGCGCGTTTAGACCCCGAGCCAAAAAAGTTGGATCTATTTAATTTCAAGCTGCAACCAGCTCGGTTTTTCGCAAAGGAGAGTTTATTAGTCCGAATAAAGTCGTAATATATTTGAATGGAGATTAATGGGCAAAGGGCTTGGTGCGAGAGTTGTGACCTAGTTATACATACCATTGTGAGTGTGTAATTGAACAAAATGCATTCCACAGAACTGGAAACAGCATCATTTAAACTGACACAACAGATTTTAAGCCAAAATATGTGACGATTTTTCTGAAATCATTGGTATTCCGATACCACAAATAATGCGTGACAAAACTGGTATGCATTAATGAACACACCCGAATCAATTAAAACCATGCCAATTTAATCTGAAGCTGCTCAAACCTGTGGAATGGCAGGATTTCGAGTAGAACATTTTGAGGTCGACGTCGCCCCATTCGAAACTATTAGAGAAATTCGCTTAACATACGCTTTGTTTATTTAGCATCCCGACTCATATCCCAAATAACAGTCGAACCTTTCGGGCTTTGTGGTGGCTCGGAGATCCGAAAAACCCCTCTCTCTCACCCCTGGAATGAATGGTTTAGTTTCGGGAACCAGAAAACGTTTCAATGGGATTTATGATTTAAGGTCGTTTAATTGCTTGTCGCGTTTAATCGATTTGCCGAATCCAAGGATCAAATCGGTTCTGCAGACTCAATATTTTCTATCCTAAAACCGATCTAACTCCCAACTGCCATTGCAAATAATAAACCTTTCGCCTCTGAAAAAACAGCATGTCAATTAAAAAACCGTCGAGGAATAGAAGCGGCAACTTTAAATTGCGCTTGAAAGAGTCAACTTTTGAAGTGTGTAAGTAATTTCGCACAGAAAGTTTTCCAGGTTTAATTAGAATGCGTTCTCAATGCGCATTGATTAATCAGAGCGAACGAACAAGTTGGCCTTAGAAGTTAATCGAAGCACAGAGAAACAGTGTGGCATTCATAATTTTCTACATCTTGCACGTTTTTCAGACATTTTCTGAAATCACTAGCAGCTAAACCAAGTGATTTGCAAACATCTAATTTTTTCGGGACCTAAACACTTACATTTTGTTGTTGAATTCGAGCGAATCATTACGGCGAACGATCCTAAAAGAAAAATTGTTAATTAAGTTTCGATATGTCGATCTTTAAAAGGACGTCTTAGCCAGATTAGTAGCGTAGCCCTAATTGCAAAACTCTGTAACGCGTTTCAAAGTAGAGGTCAGGTATATTTCCTATTTTCCAGCATAAATTGCGACATCGGACCCTCTTTGAGCTGTTTGTGTTGCATTAGGCCGCTGGGGTCGCATTTTTAACTTAACGATACATTCTAATATGTAAAACAGTAACAAATTCATATCAACAGCAAATAAACATTTTTCGAGTTCGAGCTTTAAAAGCACGCATATTAGTAAAATCTGGGATTTAAAATCTTTCTGCGGTCCTCGGAGAATCATTTATCAATCTTCAAATAATTCAGAATGTTTCCTAAGGCAATTGCTATAAAATTGGAATCCTGGGAAGTTTCGTAACATTTTAGGGAAATAGTACGCCGCCTCTCTTTGGTCATTCCGAATTTGGTACGAGTAGTGATAAATTTGCCAAGTACTTACGCTGCTTCTTCAACAACAGTGGCCAAAATAAATTCGGTACTTCGATCGTTAGATATAACTTGACATTCGGCATCCAAGATCTCGTCGTCATCGTCGCCTGATCCCGACCCTGTGTTGGTTGCTTGCTCTTCGATGGGTGTGGGACCCAGATGGGTCTCGGCCAAACGCCTCGTATTAGCCAAGTTCTCTATCACAGATCCGGCTTTTATTTCGCTAGGCAGTGGTTTTCTAACCGCTCTCTGCTGCATAGCCCGCGTTTTAAGTGCCTGCGAAACAAACGCTTTTTTAGAAAGTTGCGAAGGCGTGAAACGAATTTCCTGGACCTGGACATTCACATGAATTTTCGCAAAGTCAAATACCAATAAAACGTTCATCGCCATTAATTTGCTTGTGATTTTACATCTCGAATGGGTTCAAGTTTGGAAGCTGGCCACAGATGTTTGCCAAATCAAACGTGCCCGTCCACATGCGAGAAATGTTCATTAAAGGGCTCGCATTTCACAGGAAAAACCAACATAAATGACGATTAATTTGCCAAATAAATTCGACAAAAAAATTAAAAGCCGTCGATGCGGAAGACTGGAAATTATACAACAATTTGGATCCATTATGGAGATTTTTTAATGAAAATTTTCCAAGCCGGGCACAATTACGACTTGGCACCGCAAAATCCACATATGAATCCTGACTCGTTAATCAACGGATTGAAATTCGTCCAATCGCGAATCAGTGGTTTCGATCATTTTATTTTGTTCTTCCACTGAATAGCCGTTTTTTGAGTTACTCAACTTGTAACTTGTAGGCCTGGGTAGCTCAGTTAATTTTTAGGAGTTAACTCCTAACCCACCGGCGCAGTGCTCAGGAACTCAGTTCGGTTTCTGGCAAACGTTAGTTAAATTATGAGCTAAAAAACGAAATCACTGTTGTTTGGACAAAGTGGTAAATATTGATGACCTTTTTTTTCAGATGTTCCAATTCCAGTCTCGGGTCTCGTAAAGCGTTATTCCACTTTAATAAATGAGTTATAACTCATTAATTCAGAGAGTGGCAACAACTAGGCCTAAGTAACACTGTGTTGTGTTGATGCCGCTCTGTGAGTTACTGCGCCACACCTCAAATTGAGCTTGTGTCGGAATAATTCTTGAAATCAGAACTTTTAAAGGACATTTTTAATTAGTTGAAAATTAGCTGGTTCCTCTCATCGCTCGGAAATTAAGCAACAGTTTAATTTTGAAGTGATTTCTTCGCGCTTTTTTTTTCGTTGAGTCAGTACTTTTTGAAAAACAAAATTAATTCGGTTATAAATTTTAGTTTTCGCATTACGCATTAATCACGGCAGCGCAGTGAAATTCAGACAAATATAAATTGTCTAAATTTAAAATCAACATTCTCAGGATCATCAATCAACAGGATCGGCACTTGGAGCGTTTTTGGTTTAGATGTTGTTGACTGTCGTTAAGTTGAAACGTGAAATTTGCCTTTGAAAATGTTGCCGTACGAACTGGAACTTTCTACAAAAATGTCAACAATCAACACATTGAAATCGATCTGCCAAGTAAGAGCAGCGCAGAGCAACTGATGACAGGGTGAACAATTAAATGATTAAATAATCATGTTTATTCTGTACTTCTGTGCCTGTTTGTGAACCAGACGAAATCAGTCAATAATCGCATTATTAGATAGAAAATTGAATCATTGTGGCCCTTATGGCAAGTGCGGTAGTTTGGAGTAAAATGGAGGATAGGGCGCCAGCTTGCAAAATATTGGTAAGAATGATCTTTAATCTATAAATATTTTAGCTTCAACTGAGTTCTTTTCCCACAAGCAACTGAAATTTTATGGATTCTTTATGTCGATGAATGATTAAGTGGACAGTATTTTTGTATTATTTTCTTCTTCGTGCGCGTCCCTATCTGAGATGGCACTCCCAACACTGACTTAAGTATATGAATGCACCCAACCGACGAATTAAAACCCGATTGTCGGCAAAATTAAAATGTATATTGCTCAGAACGTTATTTCTACACACGTCTTGTTTTTTTTCTTTTCAATTACCTTAGTTACTAGAAACAAATACAATTTAAAATAAAAAACTAATTGTCACATCGCCCCCTAGATTAACTTATGTGGTTGGCAGGAGAGACAAATAGATCGTATTTACTCATTTCCCAACACTTTATATTTTTCTCTCTTTGTTTTGCTGATTTCAAAAAGTTTAAACTTGGACAGAAACTACTGTACTAAACACATGAAAAATCTTCGTTCTTTCTACACAGCTTTCGGTAAATATTTTGGCACTGCTTTGTAATTTTATATTAAGCTCATCTGAAGTTTTTCGTTAAAGAACAGATTTAGATCTGGAAATTCGGGTTCAAATATTCAATTCAAGAAGCATCAGCTGACTGGCAGCGTGGATTTGGTTCCGAGTAAACCATTCATTAGTTCACAAGAAATTTTTAAACTTTGGGAACATTTTGGGTGGCTTTGTATTTTTACATCAAGCTCATCTGAAGCTTGTCTCCAAAAAAGCGATTCAGATATGCAAATCTGGGCTCCAGTTTTTGGTTTTTGTTAAAAAAGTCAGTAGTTTTAGCTTTGCCGGTTTTTTTTTAATGGCGAAATCGACCGAAACATGACGCCACCTTTTTGGACGTTCTTCAAGAACCATTTGAGCCACAGAGTTCGTTTTTATATAATCGAGTATAGAATTGGTAACTCGATTCAGTTATAACAACGTGCGTGAGTAAACACTCGTCGATTTGTTACAGAAAATCACAGAAAATTTGAATATCAATCACTTAGGTGCAGGTTTACGCCAAAATTTCATTAAAAACGCGTCTTCTAAAGAATCTCAATTTTTCAAGTTTCCACTGGCTTTACGTTGGAAGCTGGAACTTTTTATTGAACAGTCTGAAGTTGCGTGAAAGCGTTCATTTTCAAATCAACATTTACGAAGCGCGCAAATCCAGGATTTCAGGCGATTTCAATGAACTTTTGAAGATTCAAAGGAGGAAATTTTGACGATATTTATAGCGCACACTTCTTTACTGAACGCACAACTCTAAACTATTTTTCGTTTCTGAGAAACTTGTTTGCAAAAAACGCGATGCAAAATGTGTCCAGCAACAGTTTTTTCAAATCCTAAACAAAATTTCCTTAACGATTAGTAAAGTTCGAAAATTTGGCGGCATTTAGTGTATACTCTTTTTTACTGCGCTTCTGAACTTGTGGAGCATTTTTCGTTTCTGAATTTTTCAGTGCCGCACTTTAATCACGTTTACCATTTAACACAAGGGCGGATTAAAGCTTGACGAGGCCCGGGGCTGGAATTTCAACACCTAACAAAAAAAGGTCACACATTTTTAGGAGCAATATTCCCGCAACGCAACTGCACCAGTGAGTTACTGTGCCGGTGCGTTGGGTTGACGCAACAAGCCATTTCAACAATGTGCCTACTCCTGAAAATTAACTGAGTTAAAAAATTAATAATTGTGAAAATTAACATGCCTACCAACAGCTCAAAAGCGCAACTCAACACAGTGTTACCCAGGCTTTACTTCTACTGGCCCTGGTTAGCTCAACACTTAATTGTACGTTTCAGCAGGAAATAAGCTGGTTTTTAAAAGTTCATAGAAATAGTTGCTTCAGTTTTGACTGCATGTTGTAGAAATTTTAACTAAAGATTATTCGATATTGGCACTGTCTGGCTCCCGGAGATGCAGCAGTGATACAAACATGGTAGGTAGGTGCATTTGTTCTCTCGTTAGCGCGCCTTCAAAGGGAAACATCTCGACAATAAAACGAGTAGCAAAAATAAAAGCACGATTTCATAGCTCTCCATCCTTGATGCGCATTAAAAATTCATGTCGCTCATAGAATTGAACATTTTTGAGCAGGGCAGAGAATATTTAAGTGGCAACTTTTCTACGCGACTCTAAATGTACGTTTTATATTTTAGATGTCATCGAGCCTATGCGAGATAGTCGGTTCGCGACGAATGTTAGTTATTGTTTTTCCCTGGAACTCACCTTAAAAATGCTATAATATAGGAAGACCATGATTATACAGGGAATATAAAACGATGATAAACTGGAAAAGATTATAAAGTCGCTATTGAAGAAGAGACAGGCGTCAGATATCCGGTCCGAGGTGTTGTTCAGCCCTAACACTATTGGGGAGCCAATCGCCGCCGATATTCCCCAAACTATTGCTATTGTCAACCAGATTCTTCTGCTGTTCTTGTGCTTGGCGTACTTGATCGGTTTCGTTACTGCTATGTACCTGGAAAATAAAAGACTCTCAAATGATTTGCGTCAACAGAACTGGTCTTTCACACACACACTGCAGAAAAGTAGCTTCAGATTTTGTGATTTTGAGCCAGAAAACAATACTCTACCGCTCTGGTACTAGTGTCCAATCAGAATTAGCAGTCTATGACATACTTCTTATTCTTCCGACTCCAACATACGAATAGAAGAAGTTCGTCGTCGCCATTATGTAAACTTTCCGAAATCCTAATCAGTCGTGGTGCAAAAGTTTAGCAAAGCGTTTTTTCTTATTTTCCGAGCAACTTTCCAGTCTGTCAAAAAGTTCCCAACCCGCAAGTCGAGCAAAAGTTACCGCATCAGGCAATGGACAACAAATACCAGTCCATCTTACTTCAAAGTTTAATAGTCAAAGTTGGATATTTTCAATCTCTTCATTTCTCTAACGGGACTCGGAATGCATAAATAACGTTGCTTTCTCTCGGTTAAATAGGCTCTCGCGATTTTTCTGCTACGATTTTACTGAGCCTTAATCTACCCGAAAAAATTGAATCCGACCTGGATGGAAAACTGGTATTGGGCCTTTATCGTAAAGTTTGATTTTTATGGATTTTAATGCGCCGCGTAAATGTGTACAGGGTTAGTGATTGAACTTTGGCCACTCCGTTTTTGCATCTAATTTGAAAATTAGAGAAAAATGTTCAATGCAAAAGTTGTAGATATTAACGTCTAGTTGATTTTAAGATAGTGCCAATTGATATAGGGTGTCTCAAATGCAAGTGGCAGACCAAACTTACCTTTTTTAACTAAAATGCCGTACTTTTAACTGCGTCTTCGCGCTATTCGTAAAATTCTAGGTCTATTCGATATAAATGTTCTATATTGGTTTTCAATTGTTTTTGAGTTAATAACCAATATTGACTAAAATTAACGAACTCCCCATTGACCGGTGTAGACAACCCAGCCCGACATTTTGGCACGAGTCAATTATAAAGGAATTTCGAAAATTTTTATACCAGATTGTAGCCAGATAATTGGGCTATCTGGTCGTAAAACCTCATTAACCTAGAAGAAAGTTGAGGTATCTCAATTGAAGGTCAAAGTCAAAGTGTTGCCTTTTTCCCATCAGAGCCCATGTAAACGAAATTGTCGATCRAAAAATCGGTCAAGACARCGACTTGAAAATGTTTTTTAAGCTATTGTTTTGAAGACACAAAGACACTCTGTCAAAGAGTTTGACATTATTCGGCGTTTTTGACATTCAAAAAGTAAAATGAAAATTTTACACCCAGAAGCGCCCTGTAAATCGAAACATTCAATGTTTATAGCTTAGAAACGAAAAGCACTATTGGTACTTGCTTTGATGCATTATCGATCTTCTACAGATAGATTAGATTGACACTCTAAAAGTTTGAGTTTTCCCAAAACTGTGGGACATCATTCATCATATTCATTCACTCTAGGAAAATAATTTTTCAAGTGTAATAAATTGCTTTAGATCAGTAAAGACCTTCTATGTCAACATTTGCCGAAACTTGACATCACAAAATTGGAGAAAATTTCGGAAATTTTGCATGATTTTAAGAAATCGTCAATTGTTTGCTTATTATCGATCAGAGCGACAAAGTGAGTACCAACTTTTTTATGAAGCTTAAGAGGGCCAACCGACTGGAGTGATTAGCTGAAAGCTGAAAAGTTGACCACAATACCGTTGGATAATGCTCGATGGGCCCGAGATTTTACAAAGAATAACTTTTTCCGATAGGAAGCTTCGTTTTCGTAAAAAAAATTAAATTTTTTTCCAAAAAATCGCATGGTGAAACGCACCAAAATATTTCACAAAATATTTTTATTTTTTTTTCTAACCATTCCTTGGCAGGTGGTTAGATATGGAAAAGTTACATCATAAATCAGTTTTGGTTGGTTCAAAAAAAATTCCTCTGTAGCTACAGGGGGAAGAAGAAAACGTTTGTACAAGGCCTTATGGAAGCAACATTTCCGAAATTGAATTAAATTTGTCAAATGACATTAGAATCGGTTGAAATTGACACCAATTAGCTTTGAGACAAATACGAATCCACCCCATGTCTAATCGATTCGGTAAATTGGAAGGAAAAAACTCAATTTAACTCCGTGTTATCGGTAAATTGTGGTACCGATCAACTGAAATGCTTCCCAAAAATAAAAATAAAATAATTTTTCAAATGTAATGGATTGCTTTGGATCAGTAAACACCTTCTATGTCAACATTTGYCGAAACTTGACATCACAAAATTGGRGAAAATTTCGAAAATTTTTTCCCAAAATTTTGTATAATTTTAGAAAATCGTCAATTTCTCGCTTATTATCGATCGGAGGAAAAAARTGAGTACCAACTTTTTTATGGAGTTTMAGACGGCCGACCGACTGGAGSAATTAGATTCAGGTGACCTCTTTTGGTTACCGAGATATTTKCAGTTTTTSGGAAACCATATTTTCGAGATTTGGTCAAAAAYTATGAAAGCTGGAAAGTTGRCAACAATATTGCTGGATAGTACTTCATGGAGCCAAGATTTTATAACTTTTTCCGACAGGAAGCTTCGTTTTCGTKAAAGAAAAATAAAATGYAAAATTTAAAAAAATCGCACTGGTGAAACYCRCTAAAATATTTGACAAWATATTTTTAATTTTTKTTCTAACTATTCCTTGGCAGGTGSTTAGATATGGAAAAGTTACATGACATCAGCTTTGTTTGSTTCAAAAAATTTCAAATTAGATGCAAAAACGGGGTGGCCAAAGTTCAATCAATATTGGTTATTAACTCAAAAACGGTTGAAAATCATTATGGAACATTTATATCGAATAAGCCTATAATTGTGCGAATAGTGCGAATATGCAATAAAAAGTGCGGCATTCCATTCATTGAAAAAAAGTAAGTTTGGTCTGCCACTTGAATTTGAGACACGCTGTATTTGAGACACGTCAGTTGGTATTGTTTTAAAATAAACTAGACGTTAATAACTATAACTTTTGTATTTACCATTTTTCTCTAAACTTAAAATTAGATGCAAAAAGGGGGTGGCCAAAGTACAATCAATAACCCGGCACATTGTTCCAAATTGTTTAAATACACGTTTATTGAGCCAAGACAATTTAAATTTTAGTAATTGCTGTTCACATTATAAAATCATCAAATAATTAGTTATTCAATCATTAATAAATCAGTGTACTCTTTTGCTTGAGCCAAAATTCTGGTCAGTTTACATGGCTTACTTAATATTTTAAATCCCAAAACGTCTAGGTTTATTGTGCTATAAGTTTGTATAGCCAAAGAGGAAGTATGCCAAAGACTTATCTTATAAAGACTTATAAAGAACCACCGCTTAAGGCCTGGTAATCCGGAGAAATTTTACACAAAATCAATAGATTGCAGCTCGATCTTCCGCAAGTGATATTACCTTGCATTAGAACATCCGGGACTTTAGGAAATCTCGTTACACACGTTAAGCGCCTTTGTTAGGCTAGTTTTAAGAAATATTTCCCAAAGATTTTCTATTCTATTACCTATAATGTACCGTCATTACACTTTAATGGGTAACTAATGGCTTGACCTGCGTGCTATAAAACGTAAAACACATTTAGAACAATGTGCCGAATAATTCCTATTATGTCATTGTACAAACCCAAATTTAATTTCCGGTCAAGCGATTACTTACAAAGTCTCAGGTAAAGCTGCTAAGCAGCAAGACCTCGGGTTCTTTCTCAGAAATTATGTTGAGCAAGCATTGAAACCCTGACGCTCATGACATGGATCCCATGTAGAAAAAGATTTGAGATTACTTTGACTGGATTTATTGCTTATTGATTAGTCCATTCTTCAAATTTTTAGAGTATCCTAAAATGACCACCCAGTGGGATCCTTAGAATATGCACTTGACGAAAAAGGCAAGCTGCATGTATTTGTCTAGGACCTGGCGTTTCATGGGTACCAATGAATAGAATAACCAAAATGCGTTGGCATTTATTCGACGAAAAGTAAGTATTCCGTACTCCAATCTGATTATTTAGCACAAAGATAAATAATCGCTCACACTTTATTTAACGACACTTGAAATTATTTTCTTTTAAGCATGACGGGCACTTCTATCCTCTAGACAGCGCCTTATTTCGCAATTTTCTTTCTCCAGCATCGTGCAAATTGGATAAAGTTTCGCAAAATGGATGCAATTAGGCCCTGCAAACTGGTTATTTTCCTAACAATAACAGTAATTTATATTTGAAATTGAATCTGCTATCTTTTGGTGATGCATTTTACCCGACAGTGGTCTTCACTTGCCACAGCAAGTGATCCTATTAATCATTGGAGAAAGTGGCTGGACACCCAGTATATTACTTAAGAGCTAAATTTCTGTTGACACGGGGACGTGCAATTACAGAGCCTAGTTAATAGTAAAACCGAACCGTCCATTGCAAACGAGCAGAGCGAGTTGCAAATCCGTTCGTTGCCACAGCCAATAAAACTTTGCCTATACCTGATGCCTGTTGGAAAGTGCAAATAGATTCAAAGGTATTATGTACACCTGAGAAACAGAATTCCAGTGGGAATCCTCTAATATAATGGAAAGTTGCACAGTGTTTGGGGTGTTCAGCAACTTTGGAAACTGAACTGAACTGAACTTATAATTCGGCTGCGGGTTATGCCTAACTTTAATAGCATTAGACAAGGCAAATGGCATCAGATAAACCTACATATGTGTGGATAGAGGCGAGCAGGTGGGGCCCAATTTCAATCTGTAGTTTTCAGTCAACAGGACTGATGGTGCCTCGTGTTTTTCTCCCTTTGAAATATGACAAAATTGGACGCAAGTTAAACACCCCGCTGAACAGTTTCCGGTAGGCGAATTCGCACCCTGCAATTCCGCTGACTGATTGAGTCGTAACGTTTACCAGAGTGGAAATTCCGGCAGCTCTAAGTTGTATTAATTAAGAAACATTCATGCAAGTTCGGGATCGGTTCGACGAGCAGACGACGAACGTTGGATTCAGCTCGGTTTCTGGTTGATTTTTATTTCACATCCATCTAACTGGTACTCACCTATCTATGGAAATTGCTACTAAATTAAATATTGAAGATGTTGAGCAAGTGACATCCATGGCGATGTAGAAGTCGCAGACGAAATCCGGTAACGCCCATTGTCCATTCACCTGAAACATTTCGAACGGCTTTAGCACTAGGGTTTCTCGGTTTCTAAAAACCCGTTTTAAAAACCGGGCTTTTGGAGAAAATTATGAAATTCGAAAATCGGGTTTTTAGTAGAAAATATCGGTTTTCAATGTATGAATAACACTTGAAAAAAATTTAAAATGACAAATGTAGCCAAATGTACTAGATTGA